TGCCGTGTGCCCCGGAGGGATGCGGGGGATCCCCAGCCCTGGCTGCTCGGGGGTGCAGGCAGCAAAATGCGTCCTCAAACCTTCCCCTCGCCAAGGTCCCACTGCAACAACAGCTGGAAGTTTCATACCGACAGGGAGATACTTGAGCTGAGGTTTCCTTTAAACTGCCACAGTTAAATAGGGTTAGAGCGTTTGGAAGCATTTTGCCTTTATACGTACGTTTTTGAAGCTGTTCGGGGAATGCTTTCCATGCTGAGCACAAGGATACTCRCAGAAATGAGTCTCATTAGTGTGTTACCGGTTTCCAGCATCAATGGCAATAAATTKGCCATGCAGTAGTTAGGAGGGATGTTGTTGCTGTGAGTCAATACCCTGCTGGGTAAGCACGGGGTTAATGTTAAAAGGAAGATGAGAGTCACCTGTGTCTTGTTACTCTGATTTGGGAGTTTCAGAAGATCTTGCAGGGACAAGGCCCCTGTTAGATGTGCTTTTACTAAAGTCATGTTTTAAATTTTTATGACTTAATCTGAAACTTTCACTCTCTCTTTATACAAAAGAAACATTTCCAAAAAGTATCTGTATGAGCCTGTTACTAACTGTACCTTAATTTTCAGGGAAATTGGATGGCTGTGTGAGAACTGGCTGTTCAAGAGAGGCCGTGGCTGAGGATTAATACCATGTCTAAAGAAATGCAGGAACTACAGAAGCATTGGCACTCCGTGATGCAGACCATCCACAGCAACGCAAATGTGGGTCTGGACTGTAATTTTGCATAATATGTAATTTTTTTATATTTATAAAGCTACTGCTTTCATAATTATCAGGATCTCACACCCTGATTTATTTAAATGCACTCCCTATTTTGTAAATGAACRCTGCAAGGCCTATGGGAAGGCCTGTCCTCCCACACCTTCAGTCAAGAAAAAGGGAAGCCTGTTCTGCTTTTTTCTTCTACTGAGCATAACCCCCTGAGATAGTAAAGTGGCATTTTAGTGAAATGGTTGTAGTGCTATAAAAAGAACTAAAAGTACAATATATGTTTCCTTAAGGGAAGGGAAACTACTGCAGTAAAGTTCCAGTGTATAGCTATGGCTGCCTCTGTAAAAAGACTTTTTTTTTGCTAGTAACATTATTAAAATCTTGACAACTCTCTGATACAGACATGCCTGCACTGTACTTAGATTCCATCAATGATCAGATTGCAGATACTACTAAGCCATGGATAAAAGAAAAGTTGATAATTTTTAAATGTTGCATTTTTGTTAATTAACGGAGTTCTCTAGTTCAAAATAATAGTTGCAGAGACCCCAGTGAAAGGTCCAGCTAGACTGATTTATTTTTTTACTTGTCTTCAGATTGGTTGGGGTTTTTGTGYGTTTGTTGTTTTTTATGATTTGTGCAAGAACAGAACTGGGAAGTCAAAGAGTAACATGTCTGTCATAGGTAGAATCATATTTGCTCTGAAATTATCTAAATTTGCAGCAAGTCCTCATGCTTTTGAAACAGAGGCAGCAGCTGCTCCTTGTTCAAGCTGCAGACTGACAAAAGGATCCCACCTGCAGTTCACCACAGTAGCAGTGGTCTGTGAAAGRTATCTGTGACAAGGGATTAAAAAAAATCTGAAATGTTTTTCTTTCCTCCACAGGTTGTTGCRTTTATGAATTCTCGTGTTGGCCAGTATTTAGATGACCACCCTTTTGTTGCCTTATCTCTCCTGATGTTCGTTGCAGTGTCAGCTATTCCCATTGCATTTTTCCTGGTTTTTGTTGTTATGACAGCTGTAATGGCCTGTATTGGTGTGATAGTCATGGAAGGTACTGTATGCATTCATGTSTGTATTCACCTCTTCCCTTTTAAGGCATGTTATTTCCTTTCTTTGCTTCCTTCTGGCAGTCTGAGCCCAAGCTGTTGAGGGTTTCTGTGTGTGGTCCTCAGGTCTCAGCAGTGGTAAATCTCCTAATACAAGAATAGTAATCTGATTAAGTGTGATCTACACAGGGCAAATCCTATTTTCCTGATGGATATGCCTAAACCAGTTATCTTGAGCATGCATAGCTTTTGTAGAAGCTAGCCAGATGACTGAGAAAGACTTTCCCCCGAGGGTTTGAAAATTGGGGTTGTGGTAGAATGTCTTCTAATTTACTTGTGCATGAACTTGTTTAAATAACCAAGGGATGTTGTTTATTAGGTGTTGTCATAGCTGTAGGTGGCATAGCCCTGCTCTGTGTGCTCTGTGGCCTGGGGGCACTTTCCCTGGGAGTTTCTGGAGTGCTGAGTGTTTCCTACATCGCACTTTCAACTCTGGCCAACTACTGGTGTGCATCAAGGTGAGTATGGATGTGATGCGTGCTTGGCTTTCAACACACATTAGACCATCTACTTTTATTGTTCTTTTGTCTTCTGAGAGAAACTCAGGCAGATGGAAACCTGTCTGGGACTCCTGGAACACTTAGATTGCTCAGCTTTTTTGAGCAAAAGGTTAAAAGATAATAATCTTAGAGGAGAGCAGACTATAAAACCATTCTTTTCTCTTGTATACAGGGGGCAGATAAAGAAGCAAGATGTTAATGGCAGTTTGCCACAGAAGAAGCCTGGCTTGGATCTTTCTGCCAAGACTGGAAAGAGTGAATAAGGAGGTTTCTCCCCATTGCCTTCATAGGCCCTTAGCTGTACAATTCCAGCCTTGCTATGTCATTGTTTACTCATTGAGCATTCAACTGTTGTGTACTCCTGGAAACTGAGAAAAATTGCATTTTACATGGGCACTGTAAAGGGATGTTGAGAGTAACCAAAAAGCAGCGATGCATTGCAATAGTACGGGTATGTGCATGATAGAATGTTCCAGAGTTTGGTAAAGGGATGTAATAACAATTGCTACTGTTAAGTCAATGGCAAGTGGGAGGACAGAAAGGGGAGGGAGGTATTTCACTGCCTGTTAGTTACTGCAGTTCTGAATGTACTCTCTTTAGTACACAGCAGTGGACATTTTGATACAGAAGTGTCAATGTTCACAACACTAGAAACATGTTTTCAATGTGGAAAAATATTTGTAAGCCTTAACCTTTGTTGAGTATGAGTAGACCATGCCAATGCTTTATATTTATTATAGTGGGAAAAGGGGGCTTGGCATAGGTCATGGTGTCAGCTTTTATCTACCTTTAGATGTTGTGTTATTCCAAAGGGATATTTTCCTTATGCTCATTGCCTCATCCTGTCAAAGGTATGCTTGGGTCTTGCATTTTTTCCTATTTGTTTAGGTATTTAAAGTGCTGGGTTTGCTGCTCAGTTATAACTTTGTGTATGATATTTAAACTTTTTTCATTTTTGCAAATGCTATATTTTTATGCATTAAGAAGGTATCTAACTATATTMGTTTCATAAAGTGGTGTTTGTTTAACCAGATTGTCTTATTAGTCTGTTTATTCTACAGTAAAAGCAATTTTTGCACATCTTCTTCTAGACAGAAAGCCACATTTATAGCTGAGTTTCTCCTTGATCAAAATATTTTATAAGGCAAATATTGCTGAGCCCAGACTGCAGATTACTCCCCTTTCCAAGCCTATAAAGGAAATGCAAATTTCCTTTACACCCTCAGCTTCTGCTGARGGGAAGAGGCATTACTTAATAAAATCAGCAGACACTAAAGTAAGTCCCACTCAGAGTCTGACCCCACATCAACCATTTCCTTCTGCATTTTAAATTTATTTTATATTAGCTAATTCATTCTGTGCTCTGCACTTAGCAGTAGCTAAAGCTGTGAACTCTGTGTTCTCTGCAGGTAAACTTGGAGCAGTTTCACTGCTGCTGCCTTGACCTTTGCATGCTCTGAGCCTGTCATTTCAAGGCTTCTCACTGTGTCCTTGCACCAGAAGCTGCTTTTTATACACTGCCATCACATTAGTGTGGTTTTCAAGGGGGATGTGCTGAAGAAAAAAACTGGGTCAGCATGGAGTAGGTGTTTTTGCTGGAGACAGTAAGGCCATCCCTTAAAAGGAGGGCAGAGGTTGTTCTCATCTTTAAATTATTAAACACTGCAGTAAAGCTAAGAAGTCCTTAGTAAGGAGGCCAGGGAGATGCTGCCAAATCCCCTTTTTCTCAGTTGCACTCTCAGGTTCCTGCAGAACAGCACAAAGTCCCCAAGAAACCATCACGAGACTCCCACCCAGTGGCACCATTCCCAGGAGCTCCTCAGCCCAGCTCACCCCTCACAGATTTAGTTCACTGCCCCTCATTGCAGGTACAGACATGGCTTTGTGGCAGCCACTCTTATGGCCCTACATGGCAGGGACCCCCAAATATCCCAAATCAAAGGAAATTTAGAGCAATTAACTGTGGGATGGTTCCTGAAGAAGCTGCTCAAGCTCAGGCTGCAGAGTTGGTGCTGCCTCCACTCGCAGCAGGTTCCCTGACTTATTCCTCTGCCTCCTTTYACAGCACCATCACTCCCACTTCATCCTCCCCCGTCAGAAGAGAGGGACATCTGCCTTAATGCACAAAATAAATCTTTTTTACTTGGCASATGAACTTAATCTTTCCAGATAACACTTTAACAGAGGAYAGAGARGCAGCAGYACACRTACAGAAAGAGGGAAGGAATGCATYTRGCTGGGCTCTAAGGTAAATTATTTACAAAACAGGGAATGAACCTTGTGTTTTCCTTGGTTTAAATGAATTATACGAGTCTTCATTCCACAGAGCATAACTAAGGCACCCTGAGAGGTGTAGCTCACCCTTCCAGGACAGATCTCTCATGTGCCACATCTGAAATCTTGCAGGCTGTATCAGCCCAGGGCCCGAAGCAGGCGAGAGCAGCCTTCCCCTGTGACCTGAATGCTCCTTCACCACGTGCAGCCTCTTTGTCTCCGCTCCTCAGGCAGTAAAAATAGTACAAAATACAGGAGTCAAAGAGCAAAAGAAAAGCTCTCACTGCTTCCTTCCTGAAGGCACCTGAGTTATTTTAAACACCCTCACWAGTGCAAGTCTGTACCTTGATCCATGCCCGAGATGTGAGAAATTTTAACTTACTGGGGTGTAACGAGCACATTTACAGTCACACAACTGTCATTATAGTATTGTTTAGTAAACTCAACCATGCTAGAACATAAGTTCAAACTCCATCATAGAGAAAACATGGAAACTTGTCGGCCTGAACATGCACTGATCTTTTCCTCACACTTSAGAGCAAGAAGGATGGAGGGGGGAATGTTAAGAGTATTAGCCTTGTTTGGGGCAGAAGAGCTAAACACACAGTGAGGTGTAACACCCTGTCAAGCACATAAACTCTCCTCCTCAAGCACCACTTACCTGGCTTCTGCAGAAGCACTTCCTACTGCTGCCAAGTGCTAAGTCAACAAGACTTAAGTATAGCAGGTTGTTTGCTGGACAAAGCTCAAGTCATCATTTCAGCCCTAACTTCTRTCAGGCTGATAACAAACAGTAACTGATGTGCAATTAAGTGACTCCAGTGTGAGGGTCATAGTTTCTTTCATTGTGTTTATATTATAATTTTGATTAAACAACAACATGAAGTCTAATGATCRTGGACTCAGTACTCTATGCTCTCCTTGTGTGAAATACACATTAATATTTAGGAAAAGCATCCTGCAATCTTTGCATTAGGGATAGCTCATTAATAATGTTTAAATGAAGAAGTTATTTAAATGAAGACATTTCCAGCCACAGCACGGGGCTCACGTTTACAAGAGCAGCTGGAGGAACTACTCATACTGCAGACAGTGGCACCACATGGAATTAAAAACCGAACTGAATTGAATCACAGTTGTGAACCATGATAAGCGATTCAAGAAAGGAAATTGGCTGCAAAGTCCAAGAGGAATTTAGCATAGCAAAGGTCTGTTTCAGAACAAGGACACCCAGGAAAGTAAGAATTATAGTCATTGTTGAAGACATCTACATTAAGGAGAGATTCAGAGGATGAGCAATGTTGATTTGCATAACTAGATACAGGAAAGGGAATACATGACAGACATAATTAACCAAGTGACTACTCCAAGTTTATTTGGAAATACACACTAGCACACCACATTTACCACGAATGCTCTTCTCTTTAGGCACCTGAGAACAGCCAAAAACAGCAGCATTGTGGCCAGTGAGAAAACACCACCAGTGGTCATGGCAATGCCAGCCCAGGCCTCTCTGCTCAGCAGAGCACTCCCTGCAAAGCAAGAGCCAAGGCAGTTTGGTTTGGGGGGACAGCCCTTCCCTGGTCCCTCAGCACCCCCAGCTCGTACCTCGGGCTGCAGACCACTCCTCTGGCACCAGGAGAACAGGACCCTGCAGGCTGACCACAGCAGAGCTCCCAGCTGCCATCCTGCTCTCTGCAACACAACACAGCACCATTGCAGCCACAGGGCAGGGGTTAACCTGCAGCAGCACAACCCCAAAACCACTGTGACATTACCTCTCCTGCTCCGGGATGGCCTGGGGCACCTCGGGATGCACAGGGGAGCATCGGGGTGGAAACGGTCACAGAGCAGAACGCTGCAGTGGAAGTACACCTGGGACACAGAGTGAGGGACCCGTTCATTCTGAGACAAGAACTGCTCCTGCTGCTGCTCCAGGTAGGGGGATAGTGTCACTTACCAGGCCAGGGAGGGCTCTGCCACCAGAGACAAAGGCAAAAGTCTTCACTTCCAGCCTCTGGCGATAGTTAGCATAGCTGACCCCACGGCCCACGGGGTGAAACACGGTCCTGTAGCTGTCCAGGGCATACTCACAGCTGCCAGGGAACAAGAGCCAAGTCACAACAGCGGGGTAGGGCAGGCTGAGGTTGTTGGTGTGGACTCCTTTCAGGGGCAGGTTAGAGTTCAAGGTTTGACCTTCTTCCTCCAAATTCCAGCATCCCACTTAGGGCTGGAATGCACCTGAGCACCCTCCCACTGCTCTCTGACTAAAAAGGGAGCAGGGGATATCAGGGAATCCTCCCCCGCTGCAGAAGGTGCTGTCCCACTCACCCATCCACCACGATGTTCCACTGGGGCACTGATCTGGGCTCGGGGGAGCCCGTGGCCCAGCAGTCATCCAGCACCAAGTGCACGTTGGGGTCATTGCGGTTCAGGACCTGCACCTCCAGGAAGATGGGCTGCCGCAGGTAACGCACGAGGGGGAACTGCTCCTCGCTGTAGGGCTGCCTGAAGGAGGCCTCTGCAAGAGCCAAAGGCTGGTGAGCACCTCAGGGTGACCTCAGGGTGCCCGGGGGCTCTGCAGCCCCTCTGGAGCAGCAGCAGTTTCACATGGCACAGATGGGCAGGAAGGGAGTGCTCCGGGACAACAGAACCCCCAGAACATTTCACTCACACACCCTCCCCTCCAGATAATGCCCAGTCTCTGAGCCCAAAGACACTGCTTTGGGCAGTTTTACTGCTGCTAAAGGCAGCTTTACCTGGGTAGCTGAGGAGCACCAAGGACAGGGAGCCCTGGTTCACAGCAGCAGGCACAGGAGGAAGGTCATTGACTTTCACCGTGAGGGAGGCATCCCCATTGCTGAAGGAGCACACGACTGTCAGCCTGCAGTGGGGAGGAGAGCTCAGTCTGTGCTGACACACGGGGACTCAGCTCTGGGAGCCTGAAGGGTTCCACACTCACCTGAGGTCACTGTCCCTGGAGATCCTGCCCAGGGGAAGGTCTGTGGGGAACGCCCTCACCTCGTTCTCGTAATGAATCTTCTCCCCATCAAACTGTGGGTGAATACCAGCATTAGTGAGGGCATTCCCAGTGCCCAAATCCCACCCCCATCACTCAAATCACACACTCACCCAAAATCTGGTGCCACAGCCGTTCAGAGGGACGTGGAACCAAACCCTGTCATTCAGAGGGGATTTGTAGGCCGGGCGGCACGCGGGGTCCCTGAGCCTGAGCGTGTCCAAATCCAGCTGGGGCACGGTGCTCTCAGCAAGGACCTCAAAATCCATGAACCCATCGTGGGTGCACACAGCAGCTGCAACAGAGAGACATCACTGTGCTGGGGACAGGGACAGGAGCCACTGCTGAGCTGAACAGCCCAGCCCAGAGCAGGAATGAGCCGTGCTGGGGCTCACAGAGAGCAGCACAGGCTGCACACACTCACCCAGAGCAGGAATGAACCATGTGGAGCTCATAGAGCAGCTCACAGAGGCTGCACACACTCACCAGAGCAGGAATGAGCCATGCTGGGGGCTCACAGACACTCACCCAGCGCTGGGTGCTGCTCGCAGGGACACTCGGGCTGKATCACCATGGCCACAGCCTCCCCGTGGAAGAGAAAAGCCAGCTTCAGAGAGGACATGGAGAGCTCCAGCCCCGAGCAGCTCTCTCCAGGGAGCTGGAAGACAAGAGTTACCCTCACTCAGTGTTGGAGCTGATTAACAAAGGGGCTGAGCCTGAAGAGCACTCTGAGCTCTTTTGCATTATTCCAGGCATGCCAAATACTAACCCAAGAGGAATATCCTCACCCCCACCTGTTTTTGCCAAAAGACTCCAGGAAACCCAAGTTACCTTGGGCAAAGCCTACCTATTACAAAATCAGTTTGCATCCATCTTAATCACTGCTGATTAAGCCCCAAGGCACAGCCTGAGAGAGGCTTGTCAAGATCAGAGCTGCTGTGCTCTGGGTCACAAACCACCCAAGAACTGTGATCACACCAACTCCAGGATCACAACTCACCCTGGACTTCAGCACTGCCCTGCTGATGTGCAGCTGGATCCCTGTGTGCGTGTCGAGAGTGATTCCATGTGCCTGAAGCTGATCCATGGGGATGCTCTTGTTCTCCACATCCACAGCCACGAGAGTCCCTGGGAAGGCTGGGATGGCCACAGTCAYGTGTGTGGCATTACAGATGGCTGGCCCTGCGACATCACCTTGGTTAAACACAACATCAGTGTCCAGGRCAAAGGCAGCTCAGTGCTGGCTGTTCCCTGCCTTACCTGGAGCACAGAGCAGCCGTGCCTCCACAGCCAGTCCACGCTCAGCAGGGCCATACAGGAGCTTCAGTGCCAGGGTGTGGAGCACCTTGTCCTTGTGCTGCAGGGGATGGAGCCTGTCAGGCAGTGCCCAGCCCCTGATCCATCACACACCAACCCCTGAGGGCCAGGGAGCACTGCAGTCTTAGCTTTGCTGCTGTTCCAGTCTGCAACACCCCCCTAAAAACAGCCTGATCACCAGACTGCCAGCCAGGTACTGCCAGGATTGCTGTGGGCACAATTCTGCTCCTGGAGATTCCCCCTCACCGTGCTGCTGCCTGAGGTGTTCTCTGTGCCCCCTCTTTCCACCAGCTCTGGCCCCAAAATGCCTCCCCCAGCTCCAGAGGAGGGACACAGTGCTGCCCAAACAGGAACTGGGGAACTCCTCAGTGCTGCTTCTCCACTCACATACCCTGTAGGACACAACTCCCGTGGCAGCAAAGGCCACCTGAAAGGTCAGGTCAGAGCCATCAATGAGGAAATTGTAGCCTTTCTGCAYTGCCTGCCCGAGGCTCAGCTGATGTGTTCTGGTTCCATCATCAACTGACAGATTCCAGGACATTGGAGTTACTGGATCCTACAAAACAGGAGAGCTTTGCTTAGGGAGGGGAGGCACAGCAGCAGAGTGTTGGATTTTCACCCTGCAGAGCTGCAGCTCAGGCTGTACATTCAGCTGCCTTTGACAGCACAGCAATGGCCCTCCCAAATGTGTATGTACATCACAGAGGTACCTGCTCCAGCTTGGAGACAGCAGGCTCAGCTCAGGCACAAAACCCAGGCACTCCTCACAGGGCAGGAGGAACTTAACTTACCACAAGGAGGAACTTACCCCAAGGAGGAGCTGAACTTACCACACGCTCATCACCGAGGCTGGAAAGGAGCCCCACRAAGGTCACCTGGAACACAGCACAGGGATTGGGCTCAGGACCCTGCAGCCACAGAGCAAATCCTCCACTCCCAGAGGAGACAGCCAGCACCAGCTTCCCTGCAGCAGGGCTGGAGCCAGSCTGAGGAGCATTAATGAGCTGAGAACAGCTCTCCAAAGAGCAGCCAAGAGACCTCCCTGCAG